ACTGAATTAAAATTTTAAATTCGAAAAAGTGACTCAGCTGATCTCAGAAAGACATAATAACGAATTCAAATCAGTTTTTAAAAGTCATATCGCATTATTAGGTTCATTGGACTGATGGACAAAATATTGGACGTTTTAGTCAAAAAACGGTTGATTTAATTTTACTCGCGTGGGTGCGGGAGTTACYATCACACTCTAATGATCAATTACTAGGTACATACACCTAACCATACCTTGTATGCCCGTGATATAGAATTGTCTATATTTAAATCGATAAAACAGGTCGGTAATGAATCCCCTTAAACTAAACTTATACCGACTACCTAATTACATAAAATATTGAATAGAACCATTAACTGCCATGAGATTTTGAGTTTTATTGGTATGAGAGCCCTTTTGGTTGATACTAGACATCACACCTCATTCTATACGTAATTTTGTTACTCGTATAGTCCCATTTATAGAATTTTACATTACAGTAATGAACATCTATCTGATTTTCAATTCTTATTTGATAATAGTTGTAAGGTAGAAAACATTGTTATTTGTTTATAAGTTGTATATTATATAATATKTTATTCTTCACCTATGTTATATTTATATCAACTGTGCTGTAGGCGTTATTATAAATAAATAAATAAAGTTATATCAATGAATTTATTGAATCCTAATCCAATTATTTTCTTCATTAATCAATAGTTATGACTACTCACCTAACCCAACATCAAATGTTACTGTGCACTGGTCTTCATCATCGTGGTTACAACCAGATCCTGCTCCAGAGTACACCAAGTCGTCCATCACCCCCGATGCTGGTGTCTAAATATTCAAATTTTAGATGTTACAAAGTGGAAATTCTTAAACGGCCAAGAYTACAAGTTCATCGTTGATCATTTTTATGAATTAAGTGTAATATCTAATTAAAATAAATGTATATTTAAATCTCTTAATTAACTTGTTGCATGGTGTCCAAAAGAGAATGTTCGTTCAGTCTATCTAAAATCGATGACAACTGTTGCGCATCCCCTTTGTTGGTTGTCCTTGGATCTCTATTGGCTGTCAAGTCAAATACCCTGAGGCCATTGAATACCAATCCCACCATAACTCCCTCGAACGCGTCCTCAATACGTTGCTTAGTTTTATTCCATCGACCACCAATTTGAATTGTTGACTGCCTATTGAACACGCTGAGTTGGTGTCCTGCAAAAGTATTGGGATTTTCACGTTTATTATCATATCGTCTCGTCTTGTTTAATTTAGGTAAATTTGCAATACACACCTGAAGGATATAGAGTTTGCATACTATTATCATCCACCTGCAAAGTCGAATTTGGCCCCGATCTTACAAATCTGACTAAATGATAGGAATTATCATTCACTATGACGTTTGCCTCACCGATAGGATGATCATTGGTCCCGACGTTGTAAATGACTACAATGTGTCCATTTACCTTTTTAGAATAAAAGAAAGTCGTGTTAGCACAAGTGTAAAAGTGCTTTTACAAGTATAGATGCGTATTTATAAAACTAAATCACATTTGTTAAAAAAGTTTATCAAACGATTAGTTAAAACTATAATAATATACAYACTTTCATGGGAATATAACTATTCCTAAATAGGTAACGTAAGAGTTATACATTSTTAATGAATAACACATATTATATATTTAATACTTTTCATTGCTAATCAAAACATCGGAGAAATTTCGCATCATGAAACTTAATCTAACTTATGAAAATGTGAATTTTATTATTCAAAGTTCAATAAAGCTAATTTATAAATTTACCCACACATAATATTGTCATTAATAAAGTTTATAAGGCGTTTGAAGTAAAAACCTGTGTTACAAAAAGTAAACTTAATAGGAAGTTGAAATACGGCAAAACTTTCTCATACTATAGATAGGTATGTTAAAGAAACTTAAATTATTTTTTGAAAATCTGAAAATAGTTTTAAATCATTTCGTGTATTAATATTAAATAAAAATCTATTTCTCAAGAAAGTAAATGAATACCTTGGTTAATTATTCTAGATAAAACAAAAAGTATATTAATACTAATAGATAGAAAGTTTTTTTTTTTAATGTTGTTAAAAAACAATGGTGGGTAAATTTTAGAAAAAGATTATTTTATAAAAAAATTGTTTATCAATAATTATGTATAATACGAATATAAGTTACCATTTCAAGTTGTAGGTAATCTCCAGAAGTGCCACTTTCTACACGGAACAGCACACCACTAGACTTGGTTGTAATGAAACCCAAAGCCAATAGGTCGTTTTGCATATCTGGTTGTCGTCCATCGGGGAACGCATATGTCACAAGACCTCCATCAGGTCCAAAATCATAGGAAATAGACGCTGAAACGACATGGATATGATTTTGATTTCCATTGTAATTTTACAAATACGTTTTGTATCGTATAATATGATAAAACACGAATCAAACAAGCCAGATTCGCAGCTATATCGTGTGTCGTGTCATGCGATGTTTAAAACTGGTAACCATATTGTTTTAATAGATGAGCTGTAGTCAGTTTATGATATACTCTGTTGTAACTTGATTATTATTTAATACCAAAAATGGAATGTACAATTATAATATGATTTGATTGAAACGACATGACACGCGATATAGCTATACATCCGGCGGATTTGGTAAATTGAGTCCCATTTAAATATTTTTAGGTAAACCGAGTATCTTGTAAAATATTTACTCATGTAAATTAATAATATCTACTTATGATAATGATTAATGAATAATACATAATATTATGATAATTTTTTAATAATTAATATTCTCAATAATAATAATAGGTAAATATAATGTCAACTTTTGAGTGAATACTACATAATACAATAATAAATAATACCTTCGATATTAAACGAGTAAATATTTTAATGATACGAGCTTAATAATGTCAAGTCTCATTTGATTATTCTTGTATTACGTCATTTTCTCTCTTAATATATTCTCCTTTTCTATATTGTGCTTTGACTTTTTGGATAGATCTCTTCTTATTTGAATATATGAATTAGATTGGATTTCTTTGAATGCATTATTAAAAATATAAATATTTGGATGTGAAATTTAATTGGTGAATAATTATATATTTTTATTTGCAGGAAGCTTTGGCATAATTACTTCAATAAAACAATTGTAAACATCTTTCGACCTTGAAAGTGGTACACCAAGAAAGTTAAAAAAAAAATMTTTTACTCAGGATTTTGTTTTTTATAATTTTTACTTAATCCAAGCCATTGTATTTTTTCCAACAATTTTGTCTTAAGCGAAAACGACAACTTTTAATATTAATTGTTGTTCAAACTTGTTGTGCGGCATTATGTATAGATTTTTCAAAGTCAATAAAAATATATTTTGGTGAAAATGTTTAACCAACAATTGTACACTGATCTATCATATATTTGAAAGAATAAAAATAAGATTTGGTTTTCTTATTCGGAAATTAAAAAAAAAAAACTTATGATACATACATTTCATCCCCAGTATATAAACTCGGAGTAACSAATACTAATGCGGACGCCCTAAGCCGCATCGGTGAAGTCAAGATAATAAGGACCAGATCTCAGACTTCACAGGAAGATAATAGTATAACCCTAAAATCGTTTGAAGAATGCATGRAAKACCCAGCTAGTCAAAACGTGAAGAACTCAAATGTACACGAAGTCTTGGGAGATATTTTTGAAACCTCCGAAGAATTTCATTTAGTTCATTGTGTATCAGGAGATCTTAAACTAAGCCGAGAAATAGCACTAGAATTCCGAAGGAAATATGGTCATATAGAGAAACTAAAGCAACACCACCAGAAGAAAACAGAGGTAGCTTATTTTAAGTTGGGTTCACGTTACATTTTGAATTTGGAGACAAGAGAAAAATTTTGGCAGAAACCAACTCTTCAAGATATGTATGAATCTTTACTTAATCTGAGAAGATTCTGTCAAGAGGTCGAAATCAAAAAGCTTGTCATGCCTCGTATTAGTAGTGGCATAAATCAACTGGATGAATCTACCATACTACAAATGATAAAATACATATTTCAATATTCCGGCATTTCAATTCTAGTAATCTCCCAGCAAAACGCTTCCGAGTTGGACAAGCATGCAATAATCCACRAACATCATGCCACAGTCTTAGGAGGTCATCGCGGTATACAACAGACAATAAAACGAATTCAGCGTCAGTATGATTGGGAAGGTTTGAAACAGGATGTTATCTAATTCAAATGCACTTCATGTCAAGTAAAAAAAATTTCTAACCGAAACACGAAACAACCTATGATAATCAGCACCACAGCGTCTGAACCATTTCAGAAAGTATTTATAGACATTGTGGGCCCATTAGAACGAAATCTTGATGGTAACRGATATATACTGACCATGCAATGTGACCTGACTAAGTTCTCAATCTCAACCAYGGCCAATTAAGAGTCAAACACGGTAGCATACCATTTTGTGACTTYTTTCGTATGTATTCACAGGGATTCCAGCCAAAATGTTTATAATCCTATACAAAGTGAAGGACTAGGTTATCTTTTAGTAACAAATATTTCTCAGGACCTCTTTGAAGCGCTTAATTTTTCAGAGAGTCATAACAGCATTAGTCTAGAAGACTTATCACGGCATTCTAAATCTTTAAAAGAAATCGAGGAACTGATAAAAGTTGAAAAAAATAAAAATTATACTTCAAAAGAAAGTAACCTATATTTACCATAATATCTCTGATTATTATCTCGACCATTCTTATAACACTATTGAGTTCTGTATTCTGTTTTGTTAAATATACCGCTAGGAAACCTATCATGTATCAACCACGAGATGTTGTAGCGGAAAGTCAATTTTAAATATGTTATAATAAATTTGATTTGTAATTTGAACATGTAACCGATATTTAGATTAAAATGTATTTAAGTAAGCAAAGCGCATGTGGCGGTATTGTATACTAGCGCACCCATAATATTAAGCAAACATGTTATTATTTTAAGATATTATTTAAGATTTGGGGAAGTAATTTGTATTTACGATGTCGCAGGGAATGCTTCCGTTTAACTTGGGGGGTATGTTGTACCCTGTATATATTAAGCACCCTGTATACGATATGTGAATTCGCTAATTAATGGCCTACGAGACTGTGGGAAGTGCGTTGGTCAACGAATTCATCGTGCGAGGATCCGTTCGGTTCCCACGGACGGGGCTGTGTTGGCAGTTGGAGTACGGACTCGAGTTAGACAGAACCTCTATAGCAGGGAATTTGAATATAGATCGTTTTCGTGCACCAAAGAACGAAACATATCTCGGAAAGAACACCACGTGATAATATTTCCATTAAATTTAGGCATCTCTATTCTTGGTAATATAATTGACTGTATTGATGAACTCGACTTTAAATTTGCTACTATCACATTAATTTTATWACATGTTGATTGCATTGATTCCGTAAMGTCCTMATCTACTTCCGTGAATTGATCTATTTCATTTACCTCTGCGATAACTGACAGAACGTGTTGTTGTTCATTATTTAACGTAGTGACATATTTATCTAATGACAAAATTTGTGCTTCTAACATATTGGAAAAAAATTGTATTTAACATTTTGTTTTTCTGATATGGTTACACTGTTTAGCCAACGGGAAGATGGCCGCCACGTTTTTGAGTATTGGGCATCTTTACCGTGTTAATTTTTATCAATGTCCAGGCCCTGATATTACCACACTGCCTCCGAGACCGCCATAGTCGCCGTCCGCCGTTATTATACACCTCTGTGTTAGGGGCCAACTAACCTTGGTTCAGACTGACTAGACGGAGTATCGTCGTTTTGTCGTAATGTTCCRCCTCCGAAACCATCGCTGTCTATTGGTATCATCGTACGCTGTACTTATTGTCAATTTCATATTCCGCAATGCCTGCATTATTACTACGACTGGCAAATGACCAGCAGAATAATACACGTCACTAAACAAACGTGYGGTTCATAAATACGCAGTACCTCCTGTTGCCCGACTACCGCCCGTACCGTGCCGTTTACAAGACCGTCGCTGTTCATTGAGACCGCTGTACGTCGTGATCATCGTCGAGTTGCCATTGCCAATGCTACCAATCAATACCACACCTATACTATCAAGGATCGTAGCAGTCTGAGAGCCATTCGTCCTGCCCACAATATAAGGTTTAATATACAACGACACCGTGAGTCAACCATTGATATTTATATTCTAAACCTTTTCCTTGCTAAATGTTTTTTTTAAATGTCAAGTCACTTAATGTGACATAATTTTACAAAAAAAAATATTATATTAAATTAATTAATTAACAGATTCAATGCAATAAAACAGATAATAATTTTTGTGAACCTAAAATTACAATTGGGTTCATCATTTATTTTTACAATATCTTCAACGTATATCGTATTTGTATCACATAAAAAAAATCGGACGTTGTTGAAAACCCGATGATATTATTAACGTGATCATTAACTCTTAGAAAGGGTTCGTCCGTATTCGTTTTAATTATTATTGTATTAATAACTTCATGCGTTTCAATTACAGACTACATTGTTTGGTAWAATAGGGTGCASAGTTGATCTAATATTTCGTATATTTTTTTTAATAAGAGCCGTATTTGAGAAAGTTAATGTATTTACGTTTTCTCTTAGTAATTCGGAGTGTTACAGTTTAGATGGCTTGAAATATTTTCAACAGCTTTTCGTTTTGAGACCATTGCTAATTTTTTGTCGGTTCAAAGATTTCTCATCTGGGTCATTGTGTTTGTAATCTTCAAAATTATCAATAACTGTGTTGGAATCACTGATTTTCAAATAGCACTTAATTAACTTAAGAAGTAAGTGTACCGCTGAATTTCCTTATTTAACATTTTATGGAACTAAAATTTGTAATCAGTAGAAATAAAAATTGTTTTGTTTACGTTCACTTTTAATCACGTTCATTATAATGTTGATATAGATGTGTTTATATGCTCGAAATAACTAATGGTGCATGATTTTATGGTGAATAACTGGGCAATTTGTAAACTAGTCTACAGTAACAGCGTCTAAATACGATAAGATAAGTATCTTATTAATACCCGACAGTGGTGTGTTAATATGCTCGCAATTACTAATGGTGCATGACTTTACGTATATAGGTAATTTTGAAAACTTATATAATATTATACGAAGGACTCAATTCACAATATTTAATTTTTTTTAAAAGGACTCAGTTTACCGCTTTTAAAAAACTCTCATTTAGTTAGGGACTCAATTTACCCAAATCCATTATGCCCAAATCCAGCTAGGTATATATTAACATTTACGAATATCTATGAAAAAACGTAAAAGCGAACCGCAATCAATTACCTATCCTAATTAAAAATAAAATCTTATGTCTGAACAATATTTTAAATATCTGATTTCTACTTACGTTCAGAACAAGTAGGTCCAACGAATGCAGTCATGTCACAATCGCACGAATATGAATTCCATTGTTCCACGCAAGTCCCGTGATTATCACACATGTCTTGCGTGCACATTTTGCTAAGTCCTGAGTCATAGAATTGAAGAGTCAAACAACAATATTGAATAAAAATAAAATAAAATGTCATATTTATGAAAAACTATTGTGTATACACCAATGTTTCCCAACCCATGTTTTGGTAAGTGATGATCATTTAAGGCGRTGAAAAGAAGGGTGTAATATYCTCATCRCCCCAAAGATCCCAGATATTTATATATTAKATTATATATAGAACTATTTGTATCGTATTTATTTTCGACTCCAAATATTTTTCCATGACATTTATTAGGAGTGAAATAAAATAAACATTGTTTTTGGRTAGCWAAATTCTTTTGATAGGTCATTACAAAGTATTTTAAGGTTAAASATTAAATTATATAATTTTAGTTCTATCCACCTATTACGGTGAAATAATAGTACATAAAATTGTATTTATAAGTCTACGGTTAAAGGAGGATCTAATAATGAGTCACCATATAAAAAAGGTTAACTCTGGCGTAGATAATCCATGTACTTACCGTCACAACCGACGGTGATGAGTGTGCTAGGTATGGTGGCATTTTCTACCATGTCCGGAGATTCACCATTGTATTCCAGTCCAGACATGCACCCCTCAAACCCGTGTCTCGAGTGTATGTGCTTTGACTGACGTTTATGCAATTCTTTAGGCACGCCGCCTGTAAAAATTCGTTATATTTTTAAATACAAATGTCAAATGTCAAATGTACAAATGTGCATTCTATTTAATACAATATTTATGTATATACCGTATGTATGTCTTCTTTATAATTTAAATAAAATAGATTTCACCGTTCGTAAATAAATATCGTCAACAGATATTATTATACTATTATATAGAATGTGATTTGYTTATAAGAATTATATTACCAAAGTATTGTTTATTTTTTGAATTACAATTTTGAACATAGGAAATTTATTCAATATACTATACCGAAAAAAGTTAACAAAAAACGAACTTACCAACATAAAACATTCCGTTCAATTGTATGTTGTGTGGTCTTGAGATTGTTGTAGTTGACGCTACCTGATCGTCAATAAGTAGACAAAACATAGTAGCCGAWATTTGTAACAAGTGAACCGAATGCCAGTAGTTGTCACTGAAACTRTTCTTTGAAGTGTCTTTAAGTCGAATCACGTGCGTGCCTGAACGAATGTTGATAAGTATATGGCCGTTGATCAGTTCAGCAAGTGCAAAGTCATTGTGTTTTCCACCGTTGTAGAAAAACAATCCGGATGTGTGCTTTGTCTTAAATCGATAGTACACTTCCATTCTAGAGTAGGCTTTTAATGGCGGTAATCCTATAAACGTATTCTTTGATAGGAACGTAACCGTGTGCACCAATGAAGGTGGTTTTTCTTGTTTTTGATATTTGGAGGTCATGTGTACTTTTGGTAAGTCTTCCGAAACTGGAAATAAAAACAAAAATACTATTAAGATTACTTCCTCCAAAACTTCAATCTCAAAACTCTGTCTAAATTGTCAGTAGAAACTTACAGCCTTTGGTTGAAATTTTCGCKAGATCAAAATAATTAATTTTGTTTAGTATGAACTGTTGGATGCTACCAATAAAGCTTGGGAGGTTCGCTAATGCGTCTGGATCCTTAGGAGGCGTTCCACCAACTAATAGACCTTGCCATCTGAGCGTTATTTTATCTTCCATATCAGAATCATCTTAAAAAAAATATTGTTTTAGAAATCACTGTTCAGACTACGTTGAATGTTGTAAGGTAATTACTTTTAACAGTGACATTGTCCACTTTCAAACGGATTTCATGTGCCCTTCTTATATAGTGCACAGAATGCCAGTTGTTATCATCTAAATGAGATCCACACAGAACCACCTAAACAATGAAAAATGAATGGGTTTATTATCTTGTCTTACATTTGATTAATATTTCAAAATAATAATGCACTCCAGCTTAAACTTTTGAAATCATTAATCATAAATAAACAATTTTTTTTACKTTGCTAGGTATTCTATAGAAATTATTACTAAAATGTAATGATACGTTTTGTATTTGTTGTATTTGTGAACAGGTAGTCTTTATAAAAATTTTAAAGTTAAATAGTAATGAATAGTAATGATTAATACCTTTTCTTTGTCACCGATTTTTAAGGCTAATCTAATTTTTCCAACTATCAATGCAATTTCTAGCCTATCCCATGAACTGTCGAAAGTTTTCATTAACATGGCCAACGGTCTATTTGTTTTGAATCGAAAATGCATGTCTTCAACTTGAGTTGTCATCTTTTCTGGCATTATTGCTTGAACGTATTGTGTTCCGTTAAAACTGTACATTGATGATTCTATAGAGATAATAAATTGAATCTTACTAATGAATTATTTAAATTTTTAGTATAATATGCTTAGATTATTTTTAAACATAAATATATAATTTACTGAAAAAATGTAATATGAAATATAGTTTATTTTATAATTTACTAGCTGATCCTCGTGCACTTCGTTGCCCGTTAAAAATACCCACTCTATATGATTTTAAATTTTTGGTTAATTCGTCATTTATACCCAGCTAGTTATTATCAAAGCTTCCCGTGATAAATTTACGTGGATTTACCCTAACTCAATCTCCATAAAAGATTATTAACACAGTATTATAAAATACAGGACTAAAAGTATATTCTATAACCCTTTTTATCCTTTGTAAGGGTTGAATTTTGAAAAATCTTTTTTTATTGGTTGTCTACACCATGAAACAAAACTACTGTCCAAAGTTCATACTCATAGATTTAACGATTTAGGATTGGCGATTTTTATCATTTTATTAATTTTTACCCCTTTTATCCCCTYAGAGGTCGAATTTTGAAAAATTCTTTCCTAGTGCGCCCTTACATTTCTTAAGAAATCTTTRTGCAAAATTTCAAGTCTCTAGACCCTATGGTTTTGTATAGCCATTGATGAGTGAATAGAGGTTGTCTCCTATATGTATACAGATAATTATTAGAAAAAAAATTAAATGGACGATCCAATAAAAATAAGACACTGTAAGAATTACGTAATATTATAATTAAACGATCAAAAACCAATTTTAAGTTATTTAGAATCTAACGGTATTATTTTCTTTCTTTTAGGAATTTGGTAGTATTAACCAATACTATACTAATCAAAAAATGCTGTTATGGGTTATGGACTGTGGTTTCATTCATTAAACTTTGAAGGATGAGGATTATCTAGGTAAACCAAGCAATATATAAATGGATAATAAGATAATGTTTTGCAATAAGTTTGTAAAATGTTTAATACCTACCAATTTTCAAACTTTTATCGTCTATTTCGTAATTTGGACTCCAACTCAAATGTAAATATAATAATTAATAAGCATTATTGGTTTAATATATAGCTTTACCTTTCATGCAAGTGGCACCAGCGTACTCGGTATTTGAACAGTCACATATCACGCGGTTCCAGCCTTCATGACAAATTCCTCCGTTGTAACAGGTGTCTGATTTACAACTGTTAGAAGATTCAGGGCAATGTGGAGTTACGGACACTATTGACACAATTTTCAATGTTTAAGAAAGTTAGAAAAGTTAAAATATATTAAAAATAATATATTGAACAGTTTTGATGTGCATCACAATATCGTATTCTAAAATCTACACGTGAATATTAGATTTATTTATGTAAAATATTAAACTACAGTTCCTATTTGAAAATGGTGTCTTAACACTACAACAGTTTTGCCATCAAATGTTAATAAATTATTTGTCGATTGWCTCTTTGGAAATATTTTGGTTGGTTTTATAGTTCACTGATTATCTTTTTATATTTACTTCGAAGAAATCTCACTAACTTATAATACTGACACTATAATATTATAGGTACACTAGTTTTATCACGTCCGTTCAACATATTATTTATTTTTTCACAATACCAGTAGTTAATTGTCCTTTTTGACTTATTAAACAATACCATGGTCCTGTTCTAAAGACGAGCTGACTAAATTGATTGCTACACCGTCCAGGACGAGGTCACGCACGCACCCAACGAATCCCGTTTCCAATGACAGTGTCCACACACCAGGCGGTATCTTTTTATGATACACCGCCCGACCACCAAATCCTAACATGATGCCGTTCTGTAGGTGTAACTGATTAGAATCGCCTGAAAATGCAATTAATCATTACTGAGAAGTGTTTCAAATACGATGCGTTTAGTTGGATTATTGACAAAATATATTATTGTGAGTCATAATGATAAAGGTTCGATAAATAAATAATAAATAATAAATAATAATAATAAATAATTATTTTTTTTACAATAAAAATAAATAAAGCACGATATGAGTTATGTCCATTACAACACAAATACAAAACYAACTAAGTACAATTTAAATGATATGATTTTCGGATAATTTTTAAGGTTAGGTAGAAACATTGGAAAAGTTTTTTCGTGCAATCTAGATATAAACCGTTATATTAAAATGTCTTTAATTAAAAGTATAACGAAACAAATAATTATATATTTTATTTTGTTGTTGTGTTAATACTCAGCTGCGTTAAATCATCACGATATGAAAGAATATAGTAGCGATGGCGGAGTAAACTCTTATTTTATTTACAAAAAAAATACTATAGTAGGTACAGTTTGGAAAACTAAAAACCAAAATCGACAATGGTTTAATCACATATTATATAATGTAAAAGACTTCATTGTAATATTCATTTCATCAGTATTCATAATATAAGTAATGATAATTTATACCTATAGGTGTATAATACATATTTTAATTATTTATTATATTTATTAGTATTGATTAAAACGAGTTTTTGCACTGCAAAGATGATATGTATGTTCCTCGTGTCCAGTGAGTATAAACCCTAAACAGAAATGTTTAACTGAACTTACTTAAATTAAGATTTAATTATACATATTCAAAAAAAGGATTTTTTTTATAACAAGGGGTWTAAAAATGATTTAAAATATCTGTATCATGTAATAATAATAAATATTTATTTTATTTTAAACATGTTTTATTTATTTATTTATTTTTTATATAGATTACAATTGAATAAATAACAATTAATATGAATTCTTTGATGAACAGAGAACAATTCTATAATTTCTGATTAAGTTAAAGTTATAAATAAGTGAATGCTTATACTACCTATGGTAAATTAAATATCTTATACTGTGACATGTAACTTACCATTTGTCGTGAAATCTGAAGAGTAATCGTCTACGGTGCAGTGTATATCTCTGTCATTACGCCATATCGAAAATTCATGCCATTGACCGTCGTTGACTTTAGTCTTTTCTGAACTAACTTCAGCACGAGTGCCGCCAGCACCCAAATCCAAATAAACGTAAAGTCGTCCGTCAACCATTTCAACAGCATAAATACCAGACTATAAATAAATTAGATTTTAAATCACCAACTTCGTACAATGAAATATATCGTAAGAAGCACAATGTTTTTGAATGTATACTATAAATTAAAAAAAATTGGAAGTTATTAACTTATCATTGTTATCATTATGATGTAGGTATTATAGTTAGTGACCACACAATAAGTATGTATTTTTAGTATATTGATTTAATATGGTGTTCTTAAAAGATAGAGACAACTAATACTAATACAAACCATAACTTTTATATTAGTATTATTATTTTATTAACCTTAGTATAGTATTTTGTCTGAAAACTTTTTYCATATTTTWTCAACTTAGAAACTTATTAAAAACCACTTAWATATAAAAATATACATTTTATATTAGTTTTCATACTAATTATGGTTTCAAAAAAATTMTAGTAACTATTCAGAAAAAAAGTTACAAAATGAAAAGCTACAAATTTATAAAGTATTATTATAGTTATATACGTCACTGACATTAATATAATACAAYTTTAAAACTAAAATTGGCTTAAAAGATTGCTGACAACTGATACAGATTTGTTTAACAAAATTGAACTAAAAATGTATTTGATCTTAATTGTATTATAATAGCAAGTTAAATAATTATATSAGGGAATTTAAATTAAATTGTCTATTCTAGGGTGTAAAAATGTATAACTTTGTGAATGTTTGTGAATATTAATAGATTTTCCAAATTATTTGAACTTAAACTCTGATAAAAATAAAATTGTGACTATAGCCTATAGGTATGTATTTTTGATATTTTAGTTGTAGTAGCTATAATAACTTACAGAGAACCTAATATTAGAACATTTGTTTGTTAAGCTTTATTACTCACAAAAAAAATGTTGATTAATTTAATGTATAACATTAACTGAAAATAAACTATTAAAAGTTGTTAATTTAAAATATCTATAAATAGCACAGTAAGAGCCAAAATATTTTGAAAGCTGTGGATATCACAAACATTTATTTARGTATTTACCCTATGTTCAAGTTGTATTTATATGCGGATGATTACAATTCATATTTTTAGCAACCATGATAATTAATTGATTTTTATAAAAAATAAATATATTTACACATAATATACAGAGTGTATTAAAATATATCATTTTTAAATAGGCATATATATTTCTATTATTACATTATTAAATATTCATATTTACTTACGGTATGTTCAGTTTGACCTCTGCTGAAAAATAAAAGACCATCTGGCTCGTTGGTACGAAACTTAACTGAAATCGAACCACTAGTCGTTCCATCCCAATTAGGCAACATCTAAAAAACATAAATATTAAGGTATCGAAGACGATGATGTAAATAATATATTAGCCTAAACAATTTCTAAGTATATTATATCGATTTTTATAAGTAATCAAAATAACTTAATTTGTGCAGTAATTCACGTATTTATCTATATATTATGGTATACAGTATAGTATGAATACTAATATAAATTATAATACTAATATAGTAGGTAAACATTATAAATATAGTTACCTAATAATGTTATTTAATTAAATAGATATTTAATTATAAAATCATATATATATTGTTTTATAACGAGATTTTAGAATTTAACAATTAACAATACTTTAATAATACGGCACAAGTATAATACAAGCCACTTGTTTCACTTGCCTAATTATTGTTTATTTGTTGTACTACATATTTTGTTTAACTAATTATTTAAATCTCAAACGTAGTAAATTAAAATTGAAGAATCGTTGTTAAATAAATAAATAAGGCGAGAAGTTTTTAATAGATTTCTGTTTTATAGAATATGTTCAAAAATTGTACTCAAGTGTGTACCTATATTAGTTATCTATATTGATATTTATACTTTCTATTGGAACTATATTAAAAAATAATAATATTACAAATAGTTAATTAATTGTCTATAGCATCATTAAATATAAAAAACAAGAACGATGAGTTATTTTAAATATCATCTGATGCACTGTAATATACATATTGATGCATTGACTTTTTAAAATCAAATAAACGGTGTTACGGTGTTTGTATTATAAATTTTTAGACTTCATAAAAAAAAAAAAAACAAGAACGTGAAAACATATGAAGTAAAAGTCATTTTGAATTGCAAAATCGTGCAGTCTTATGAATATATCTTCCTGCTGAATACTTCTGAAAGTCAAAAAGAGGGGAAATATTTTAACAGGAAATTATATTTTTATCCATACGATTGTAAGACTTAATATAATATTTTCGTACCTACGTGATGTTAAATGTAATAACATCTTCAAAAGTTAAAAAGAATGAAAAGAAATTCAACTAAATAAAGAATACGGATACATCAGGTAGGTAAGAAATAGAAACAGCCAACAAGATGAAAATAAAAATAATATACAAAACAATATTTATTTAAAATCACCAACCATATAAATATCTTGAATCATCTACTGTGAATCCACTAGGTACCTCGGATCCAAAGTGAACTGAGAAGAGATTAATTTTTATTAATCTTTATTAATCTTCATAATAAAGTTAGTCCATCTTATCAGTTATAATTATTTGAAGATCTTTACAATGATGTGATCAGCAAACTTTATGTAAACAATCGTAATTGGAGATACAAAGTTTTCCCCAAGTTCAATACCACTAGTCGATTTTAGGCTTTTGTAGACAGAAAGTAATTGTATACTGTTTATTGTTATTATTATTATACCCAACTTATCGTTGTAACCGAGATAATATCATATAGCATTATAAATGGAATTAATTTTGAATTATACGTTAGAAATTACTTGAACAAAAATGTTAACAATGTCAATTTATACTTTTTAAAACGTAAGTTAATAGTATTATGTTTCTAGAAAAGTTATGATTCATACATTATATATTGTTACGCATTATTTCAATATAGTATATTTATTGAAAATTGATCAATTATTTTTTTGTTCGCATTATTTGTTTTTCTGTAAACTAAGAACTTAGTTGAATAAATTTTTATATGCAGGTATGAGATGAATTAAATAATCAAGAAAACTATAGACATCCTACCTGTAATTTATAGAATACATATTATTATATATTCAGTMATCTTTTGATTAAATAATTTTTATCTGTGTACAAACTAAATATTTTTTTATAGATGATAAACTATCTAATTAATTTCTTAGTATTTTTGTATAAAAATTGATTGAAGCTTAATATTGTTATATATATTTAGCAATAAAATTAGGTAAGTAAGGTTATATAGTTTAGTCATTTAATGAGTGTAGTCGCAAAACTCATACATTGTTTTATATTCAAGGCAACATGAAGTAATCATAAAAATCAATCAAAATGAAATATGTTCATTARTTTCCCCACGTGTAGAATGACATACTATACAAATTAATAACCATTTCTTAGAGATGTTAATATAAATTGTATATTAGTAGTAACAATTTAGCATATACGTTATTATGTTTATGCTATTTGTAAAATATCGTTATTGCAAGTAGGAAGGTACACAAGAACGACTAACACAGCATAAAAATAAACAGTAATTATTTGGAGATCAATTCAAATGGTTTATCTGCATTCTAGGTGTTAAGTCTTAGGACAGGTGAATTGTGCTCTAACGGTAGAACGTCGAATTTATTGAAAAATTAAATGGAACAAAAGCACAATAATTACATAGGATTTGCTAATGGTCTTCAACTGGCTTGTCAAATATTTCGATTTTTGACAGTTTTATTTTCATAACAACAACTTAAATCTTTATTTCCGGTTAAATTGTTTTTTAACTACGAAAATAACACATCACTGTAACTATTACCACTTAGCAGAAAAACGTGCAAATTTAAACATTAATATCTAACTAATACATGCTAAAATTCGTGAAATTCACGGCCACGCACACATAAGCAAATAAAATATCACGAATTATTTTACACGAACAAATAATTTAGTATCAGTCGTTCACTTAGAATAATACTAGGTAATTTAATGAATTCGAATTCTTAGTTAAATAAATATATTTCGGGTAGGATTAGTAAAAAAATGATTTTTAATTTTTTTWAATTGTTTTCAATTGTTTTTAACATATTCATTWWTACTGAAWAATAAACAAAAAATAATTAAAAATAATACCTACAAGGATTTATTACCTAATGGTTATTTAGACATCTAATGTATCACTATCACAGAGCGTTACCACTTACCAGCTTATTATTTATTATAATAATTTAAAATTATTTGATACCAAATATAAATACTGTTATAATTTTCTTTAAGGTACAGAATTAGACGTTATCATTTTATTTAAGTAATTTACATCAAATTGTGAATGTAGAGTAAGCTCTGCAGAATTAATACAATTCTCAACAAATTGTTTGGGTGCAATTTAAGGCTTTAGGACAATAGAATTAAGTGATCAATAAAAGWAAGACCCAATTCGAGTATTATCAAATAATACCGCGGATCCCGGCGCATCCGAGTTGGGTCCCGAGTACTGGGGGCGAATCGCAGGTACTACACTAKTTGGGTCCCGGATTTTTATAGGTACTACACTAGTTCGGTTCCGGATTTTAATAGGTACTACACTAGTTCGGTCCCCGATTTTTATAATTACTACACTAGTTGGGTCCTGAATTATTTTAGCTACAACATTAGTTCTTGGATATTTTTTGGTAAGTAACTATACTAACATTTTCCTTCCCATTATAACAGACTTAGGACTGTCTATAATCAATTTATACCACAGGTATGGTTGAAATTGTTTTTACAGTATTTTTTTTATGTTTCTTTTCCATTAAAGTAGTTAGAAGAATTATATAAAAAATAAATCACTTTTGTGTTGGTAAAAATATTAAAAATGTTAAAAACCATGTATAAAAATACATATTATGTAATATAAATATAGCCATAATGCTATATAGGTCTAAGTGAAAAAATATTAAAAATGTTAGATTAGGTTTTTAACCATACCTGTGGTCTAAATAAATTATAGACAGTCCTAAGTCTGTTAAAATGGGAAGGAAAATGTTAGTATAGTGTAGTAATTACCAAAAAATATTCAAGAACTAATGTTTTAGCTAAAATAATTCGGGACCCAACTAGTGTAGCAATTTTAAATTTGGGACCCAACTCGGATGCAGCCGCGGACCCAACTCGTGTTATTTTTAAGGGATCAAATATCTCGGGACCCAATTCGCGTTTTCCCCTATGGTTCTCTATAATCAGCATATTAAGTTACATATTTTTTTTTACCTAATTATTTTATGTCTTAACGCTTATGATGTATTAAYATTAATATTAATACTAATTTCAGTTGACTTTTCTAAAAAYGTTAATACTTAATATATAATATTATGTTTGATGAATCGCGTATGAAAACATTTAATTKAACAATAATTAATACAGTTTACTTGAAAGTATTTCGTCGATAGAAATGTATATATATTTATATGTATCTACCTATTTTTATAGCATATTTTAGAAAACTGAAGTGATTATACTTGCTCCCAAGATCTACAGAAAATACCCGGTGTTGATATTAGAGGGCGGTGTGGGTATGGACCAGTTGCGCCTAAAACAATATTTGTATTTTAGGTCAGTACACCAATTGCGCTACTTATATTTTAGGTTCCTTATTTTTACATGGGCGTATGTAAGTAAGTTACTACACGACGGAAAAAGTTAGAAAAGTTGAAAAAATCTATATATAATTCATATTTTTATAAAAGTATTTTTATATACTAGGTGTATAGAATAATATTGTAATCCCTGAAAACAAYTGAGTGCAATTAGTATATCGATCCAAAAAAGACAGAGCGCAATTGGTATATCGACCCAAAAATGACCGAGCGCAATTGGTATATTAAAAGGTCATTTTAAGCACAATTGGTAAACTCCCGGCGATGCTAAGATTAYCGGGTAGGGTAATATTATCAAATAGAGCTGTTGTGTGTCGAAGGAAACCGGTACACTAGGTAATGCATTATTACTGTCTCGTGTGTTCACACTTAAGTAATATGACAGCTAATATTTCTCCCAAATAATGAGGCAGAAATAAATCATAAATTCATAATTACATTCATCTTAAACGTCTTGTATATTTGTAATTACTATTTACCATTCTGAAGAATTTAAAATATTATACCAATATTTAACATGTACTAAATAATCCAAACTAAGTGATGAAATCGAACTAAGCATTTTTAAACAGTCATTTAAATGATTTGGTGGATTGTATATTATGTATTTATTTTATTATATCCAATTAAATTCTTGAGATTTTGAGAATACTAATAAAACATTTTAAAGGACGTTTTAAAACTGTATTTCTGAGTTATATTTAACCAGGTTAGAAAATTAMTGCGATTGTGCTAAATTTCAAGTTCCTAAATGTATTTTTAACGATTAACTATAATAATTCCGTTTACAATTTAAAAGGTTAATTTACTTTTAAAGCTTTAAATAATGCAAAAGTGGTTGAAAAATCAAAATCTAACAAAACCAGAACTTTCTGTGATCAAATAAGTTTATCTAAAACAGGTCACAATTGATTAAAATCTCTTACTAAAATAGTACAGTATCTCCTCCCCCTCTTCCAACGGTTTTATTTAATAAAATATCGAATAATATGTTATGGAAAATTTGCAATGTATATTTAACCTCTATATTTGCATCAATTATGTCTACTTATTTTTTTATTTGATAGAAATAAGGCTTCAACAACGTGGGTTATTACCCTTACTACTTTTATGGCTGAAAAACTACATACTTCAAATGAGCCGAAAATTATGTTACTCCTTTTCTATTTATTAGCAATATAAAGGCAGTTAACATTGTCTGTCCAAAAATATTAAAACTGCATCAGTTTGTACACGTAATATAACTAATGAGTTTTTGGGGCTTGCATGAGCTATTAAGTTGAAAACTCTTTCATTARGGAACGAACTTATATGCCCTAGAAAACCACGAAATATGCTCTTAAAAATATCCGTTTTGTACTTATCATCGATAGGAATAAACATTTCATTACCTACTTTTACACATTTTATACAACTTTTTACTGTTCTGGAGCTACCTAATAAAATCRAGTGAATTGGATTTTCAAAAGTTCTATATGTAATACAAAATTATTTATTTTATTATGACGAAAATTTACAACATTCTGTAAATTAATAATTAATACTTAATAATATTTAGGCTTGTTTGACCTGTTTAGATATAAATGTATCATACACTATTATTTTATGTAAAAACTTACTGATGCTAGCTGAAGTATTGGATTTTTCCAATTCATTATTATTAATTTATTATTCTCTTTGTTTACATAATTGATGTTATATTTGAAGTTACTTTTTGTTTGCAAAAACATTCAAACATTTTACTGTTTCATTATGACAAGGATATAAAGCGGAATATAACGTAAAGTACTTCATAATAATAGTTATTGGTTTTTTTTTTATTAAAATTTTAACGTAAAAAATGAATCACTTTTAGTAAATTTCGTTTTTTTATACGTCCATAAATTTTAACCTAGGTTTTAACGCAATAAACAAGATTTGTAGAAGAATAAATAACCCTTTATTCACCATAAATTAGGTTACATTGTCCTTATTGTATAACCTCAGGGTCTTTGAAAATGTATATAATCTTGCAAAATGCATAAATGATAATTATTTCAGCTCATTTGATTGGTTAATATGATGCGAAATTAATTCATTTATAAATACATTTCTAAAATTGACGATTATTAAATTGAGTYCTTTAAACTAATTGTAGCATTCGATTTCATTAATTTAATGATCCAGTTAGTAAATATTACTGTTTTAAGGATACTGACTCACCATAAGTAGTAAAACATTATAATAGGCAAATTATTGTGATGAAAATTCATTATTTTTGTAGGGTTTTGTAGCATTTTTTATGCAATGGCTCTTCTTAATTTTGTAGTTGCAWATATAATTTTTTGGTTAAAACATAACTGACGGTATAATTTGTTGTATTTCTATTCTTTGTTCTAACCTTAAATTTATTGTTTAATCTTCTTTGCAAATCTAGGTTAGTAGATCAGTATCAACATTTACTTTCATATTACTTAGATAAATGCAGCTAAACGTATGGTTAGAAATCAAGAATGATATTTGTCAAAATACGAAAATTGTAGTTTTACTTCAGCAAGTTAAAGATAGAATATAGATAGAACGTTAAGGAACTGAACTGTGGCTTATAAATTATAATGTATCTATCTGCTTTATTAATTTATTGAATTTAATATCAATAAATTAATTTCTATATTTTTTTTTTCATTTTACCTATGGTTTTTTAGTTAGGCTATTGGAATTAGATTTAAGAGGAAATACATAGCTCTTTTGTGTTATTGCAATAGGTTAGATACATTTTTGAGTCATAATACAAAGACAGAAAAAAAAACTGCCATTTCAAGAATAGCACAAAACGTTTATAACGTATTGGAAATACCTTTAGTTCTCATTAGTTTCAAGAAAGACGATAAAATGGAGGATAATGGATAAAAAATGTGTGAAGTGGACTGTGACAAAGATGGCTGTTTAATAACGTTGCCTCAATCAATAATGAATGAACACAGACTTCAAAAGTTTCCRAACAATTAGTGACAGCTGCCAACACCAGTGCTATAATAGTGGTGTTTGACATAGCGTCTTATATAGTTGTATACCTACCGATGTATTAAATCTACTGTGCTATRCATTATACCCATTTTAATGTAATGCATAATATAAAAATGTTATTATTATAAAGAGCATGATAAAACAGATGATTGCGTCCATTGTATGATATGTGTAATTCGTGATATGATTTTGCAATATTATTATTATTTTCAATTCATATCGACCGAAATCGTTTAATTTAAGTACCTAGTATACCTATATATTTATTTATATTAACTACAGGATGACTCCAATTACATTGTCTGTATTGAAAAATAATTAACAAGATAGATTACAAATATTTAAGAATTAACAAACAATAATTGCACTAAATACTAAGGAATTGTGAGCCTTCATTGGCCAGTTTCTTCATACGGACAACATGGTGATT